TTTCAAGGAGTAATTTATTTGCTTTTTTGAAAATGTGACTCGTTTCACTTAAATCTTAGAAGCAAAATAAAATATGAAATATTATTAAGAGCAAATGACCATGCTCATGCAAGTGACAGGACTAGTTAGGACCATGTTGCTAGTCATCAGTTAATCAGAAACTCATTATTTTCTGTTGCTTCAGCCTTCAGAGGTCTTTAACACAAAACAAATATCAAGGAAAATTACAATTTTGGTTCCAACAACTGATCATTTATTACAGTATCAAGACCTGTTTGGAAAACAAGCTGAATGACAAATGCTGGAATGTAAACAACTAATTAATACAAGCCACAAAATATTAGCTGTCTGAAAAACCCACAGATTAGTTAAATTTTTGTTGCTTGCCTTTCCAAAAGGAGGGGCGGAATGACCACTGCAGAGAAGATAAAAAAACTTCAGAAAACCTATCATACAGGAAGTTTCTATTACCCTCTTTCATAGAATGACACAATCACAGAATCATTTAGGTTGGAAAAGGTTTTTAAGATCATCAAGCCCAAACCTAAATCTAAGATGGCCAAGTCCACCACTAAACTATATCCCTAAGTGCAACATCTACACATCTTTTAAATACCTCCAAGGATGGTCACTCAACCACTTCTTTGGGCAGTATGTTCCAATGCCTGACAACTCTTTTGGTGAAGAAATTTTTCCTAATAACCAGTATAAACCTCCCCTGGTGCAACCTGAAGCCACTTCCTCTCGTCCTATTGCTTGGTACACAGGAGAAGAGACTGACATCCACCTCACTATAACCTCCTTCCAGGTAGTTTTAGAGAGTGATAAAGTCTCCCCTGAGTCTCCTTCTCTCCAGACTAAACAACCCCAGTTCCCTCAGCTGCTCCATGTAAGACTTGTGATCCAGACCCTTCACTGGCCTCGTTACCCTTCTTTGGATGCAGCCCAGCACCTCAGTATCTTTCTTCTAGTGAGGGGACCAAAACTGAAAACTGTAATCAAGATGCAGCCTCACCAGTGCCAAGTACAGGGGAACAATCACTTCGCTAGTCCTGACGGACACTCTATTTCTGATACAGACCAGGATGCCACTGTCCTTCTTGCCACCTGGGCACACTGCTGGCTCATATTCAGCCGGCTGTCAACCAACACCCCCTGGTCCTTTTCCCACCAGGCAGCTTTCCAGCCACTCCTCCCCAGGCCTGTAGCATTGCATGGGGTTGTTGTAACTCAAGTGTAGGACTGGGCACACAGCCTTGTTGAACCTCATGTAGTTGGCCTTGGTCTATCAATCCAGCCTGTCCAGATACCTCTGTAGAGCCTTCCTTCTCTCAAGCAGATCAACACTCCCACCCAACTTGGTGTCATCTGCAAACTTACTGAGGGTGCACTCGATCCCCTCATCCAGATCATTGATAAAGAGATTAAACAGAACTGGCCTCAATAGCAATCCCATGAGAACAAACTTGTGACCAGCCACCAACTAGATTTAACTCCGTTCACCACAACTCTCTGGGCCCGGCCATCCAGACAGTTTTTCACCCAGCAAAGCGTGTGCCCATCCAAGCCATGAACAGCCAGTTTTGTCAGGAGAATGCTGTGGGAAACAATGTCAAAGCCCTTACTAAAGTCTAGGTAGGCAATATCCACAGCCTGTCCCTTATTCACTAGGTGTGTCATCTTGTCATAGGAGATCAGGTTTGTCAAGCAGGACCTGCCTTTCATAAACCCATGCTGACTGGGCCTCATCACCTGGGTGTCCTGTACATGCCACATGACACACAAAAGATGATCTGCTCCATAATCTTCCCCTGCACCAAGGTCAGACTGAGAGTCCTTTAGCTCCCCAGATCCTCCTTCTAGCCCTTCTTGCAGATGGGTGTCACATTTTCTCACCTCCAGTCAACTGGGACATCACCAGTTAACCAGGACTGCTGAGAAATTATTGTCTTGGTGAGCACTTCCACCAGCTCCCTCAGTACTGGATCCCATCTGGTCCAACAGACTTGTGTATGTCTAAGTGGTGTAGCAAGTCACTAACCATTTCCCCTTGGATTATAGCGGCTTCAGTCTGCTCCTCTTCCCTGTCTTCCAACTCAGGGGCCTGGGTACCCTGAGAACAATTGGTCTTACTGTTAAAAACTGAGGCAAAAAAGGCATTAAGTACCTCAAGCCTTTTCCTCATCCTTTGCCACTATGTTTCCCCCCACATCCAATAAAGGATGGAGATATTCTTTAGCCCTCCTTTTATTGTTAATGTACTTATAGAAAAAAAAAAAATAAAAAAAATTGTCTTTTACAGCAGTAGCCAGATTAAGTTTTAGTTGGGTTTTGGCCCTTCTAATTTTCTCCCAGTGTAACCTCACAGCATCCTTGTACTCCTCTTGAGTGGCCTGCTCTTTCTTCCAAAGGTCATAAACTCTGGGGTTTTTCCTGAGTTCCAGCCAAAGCTCTCTGTTAAGCCAGAAAGGTCTTCCCCGCCAGCTCATCTTTCAGCACATGAGGACAGTTTGCTCTTGAGCCTTTAAGATTTCCTTCTTGAAGAATGTCCAATCTTCCTGTTCCCCTTTGCCCTTCAGGACTGCCTCCCAAGGGACTCTGTCAGCTAGTCTCCTAAACAGGCCAAAATCTGCCCTCTAGAAGTCCAAGGTAACAGTTCTCCTGACCCCCTTACTTCTCTGAGAATCAAAACCTCTATCATTTCATGACTGCTATGCCCAAGATGGCCTCCATCTATCACATCACTCATAAGTGCTTCTCTGTTCACAAACAGAAGGTCCAGTGGGGTACCTTATCTAGTTGGGTCACTCATCAGCTGTGTCAGGAAATTGTCTTCCACACACTCCAGGAACCTCTCAGACTGTTCCCTCTCTGCTGCACTGTATTTCCAGCAGACATCTGGTAAGTTGAAGTTCCCCACAAGAACAAGGGCTAACGATCTGGATAGACTGGAGCCATGGGCTGAGGCCAACTGGAGGAGTTTCCATAAGGCCAAATGCCGGGGGCTGCCATTGGGCCACAACAACCCCCAGCAGCACTACAGGCTTGGGGAGGAGTGGCTGGAGAGCTGCCAGTCAGAGAGGGACCTGAAGATGTTGATTGACAGCCGGCTGAACAGGAGCCAGCAGTGTGCCCAGGTGGCCAAGAAGGCCAATGGCATCCTGGCTTGTGTCAGCAATAGCGTGGCCAGCAGGGACAGGGAAGGGATCTGATCCCTGTACTCAGCACTGGTGAGGCCGCACCTCTATTCCTGTGTTCAGTTTTGGGCCCCTCACTCCAAAAAGGGCATTGAATGACTTGAGCGTGTCCAGAGAAGGGCTACAAAGCGGGTCAAGTGTCTGGAGCACATGTCATATGACGAGCGGCTGAGGGAACTGGGATTCTTCAGTCTGGAGAAGAGGAGGCTGAGGGGAGACCTTATCACCCTCTACAACTACCTGAAAGGAAGCTGCAGAGAGCTGGGTTTGAGCCTCTTTAGCTTAGTAGAAAGCGACAGGAAAAGAGGCAATGGCCTCAAGATGCACCAGGGAAAGTTCAGACTAGATATTAGGAAGCATTTCTTTAAAGAACGGGTTGTTAGGCACTGGAATGGGCTGCCCAGGGAGGTGGTGGAGTCCCCATCCCTGGAGGTGTTCAAGAGTAGGGTCGATTAGGAGCTTAAGGATATGCTGTAGGTGGGAACTGTGCCAGGCGAACAGTTGGACTAGATGATCTCCAGGGTCCTTTCCAACCTAGATGATTCTGTGATTCTCTGTGATTTTGTGATCGTGAGACTTCTCCCACCTACTTACAGAATATTTCATCTGCCTCTTCATCCTGGTTGGGTGGCCTATAACAGACTCCTACCATGATCTCTGCCTTGTTGGCCTTTCTCTTGATTGTTACCCATAAACACTCAACTCTATTGCCACCATCATTAAGCTCTAGACAATCAAAATACTCCACAACATAAAGCGCTACCCCACTGCCTCTCTCTTCTTCCCTACACCTTCTGAAGAGCTTCTAGCTATCCACTCCAGCATTCTAGTTTTGTGAGTAATCCCACCATGTTTCTGTGACAGTAACCGTATCAGTTTTCCAGCTGCACAATGGCTTCCAACTTCTGTTTGTTGCCCATACTGTGTGCATTGGTGTAGATGCACTTCAAGTGGGCTACTGATCCCACTACCTTTTTTGGGGCAGAAGTCCTAATTCCTATGTAACCATTCTCAGGTGCTTCCATGGTTTGTAACACATCAATAACCCTTGCATCTTTGCTGTTGCATGAATCTCCATCCCCTACCTCCACTGAGATAATAGACTGAAGGACCTCACTAGCACACCATTGGCATGCTGTCCCTAGGCCAAGTGGAAACCATCACTCCATGATCAAGCTGGCAGAGCTTCAGTGCCCTTCCCACTCACACTCTCTGAGGGCTTCTCTTACACATGTGGGGGGCTTGGCCACCATTGCTCCTGCCCCAGCCAGGTCCCACCAGCTACTGTGGAGGCTCTCCCAGCTCCCTAGAGCTTCCCCTGATTCAGGAAACCCTCTGTGCACCATGCTGGAGTGCTCCACCATGAGTCCTGCTGGTGCCAGCCACCAAGTGCAACTTCGATTACACCACATTCTTCTTCCTTCATTTTTGTTCTTCCTCTTTCCATAATTCTTATTGTTCTCCATTGCTTTCATCTCACTCTTCTTCACCCATGATACAGCTGGAATTGTCTCCCATTTAAGGCACACTTCCTCTTTTCATTCCTCAGCAGAAGATTAAGACAAACTTATCCACACAAGAAGATATTTGGATAAAATTTTCTACTGCAAGTAAATTAAATGCTATCATACAATTCCTTTTACACAGATTTATGCTAAACATTCTCCAGCACACCACCAGAAATGCAAGTCTGACAATATATGAGGAAGGATATTTTGATGTCTTCACTTCCTTGACTAAGAATTACTATCACTAACTTTAGTTCATTATAAAAATCATAGATACATATTTATGCACTCTTACCTGATTAAATTCTGGCACACCTGGCATCCTGCAGGACACCTGTGATACAAGATGGATAATTAATATGTGTTTGTATAAAAGAAAACATCCATAATAGTATTCATACAGTGTTGATTCACCTGTGAAAAAAAATCTCATCAACAGCATTAAAGGCTTTGTTCTTCTGCACTCACCTCTGGAAGATGCACTGGGTAACTTCAGTGATTTGTCTGGCATTTTACATCTTAGACCGTAAGTCAAATCTGCATTTCACAGATGAGTTATCTATCTTATTTACTCTACACTATCCATGTGTTCAAAACAATATGTTCAAAATTACAAGTTTACATCCTCAGAATCTGATCTCACTAAGTTTATTTAGGCAACACCATCCACTAGATACACAATCTGCAATGCCTAATTGTTTGCTTTCTCAAGTCCTAAAACACAAGTTGAGGATTTAATCTTTTCACACTCCACACAGTCTGAGAAGAAACCTCTATCTCAGAAGACTCAGCAACAGGCATTATTCTGAGGAAAGGAAAAAACGGTGGTACAGTATTAAGAATTCCTGTGCTACAATAACTCCATGTAACTCAATCTCTCACCTGGATGGCATCCCACACTTTTGGTTACTGGACTGAGAGCAACACATCTAAAAAGCCTAGGAAGGCCAATTATTGCCAATTTCTAATTCAAAAGAATAGTATCATTTAAAATGTACTGGTGACATCCATGAAAACATCTATGAAAGCATCTATGAAAACCCATAAACACCAGCAATCACCAACTGGGACACTGCAGAACTGCAAAGAACTTCAAGCTACAGACAAGACCCATAAAAAAAGTATTCCGATTCTTTCTAAATTTAACAGAAAGAAAGTAAAATTCATTGTTTTACCTGTGAGGATCTTTGGAACTAGGAATGATGTGTGCACATTCTCTTTTACTGAAGACCTCTTCAATCCAAGATTTCGGGGACTGAAAAGACATTTCAAACATCATTGTATTCCTGAACTTAAGAACATTATGCCAAAAATTGCACTATAATGTCTACATGGCTGTGTTTACACATAACACGTAACTCAGAATGAATCCTGTCATGATGTTAGATGAAACCAAACACTGTAAGCTGAAGCTACAGCTCTGAACAGTCCTAGCTCTTCGTGCCCAAGCTTTACACAGCTCCACAGAAAGATCAATATTAAAATTTATTCCCATCCCTCACTAATAAACATGAAAATTACTTAGAAGATCTGTCAAACATGTAATTGAGGAAATAGTAAGGAGGAATCAGAACTGCTTAAAGGACTGCACTTCCCTTCTGCCAGAAGACTAGCAAATTGCAATCTTACTAAAGCTGTAAATGTCAAAAAGGGGAATATTTTGTTTTTATGTCAAAGAGACAGTTGATTCCTTTGTTTATTATTCTTAACAGAGTTAAGGATAGATTCATCCTGGTTGTATGTTTGCTGAACTAGGAATACAGTGAAATGCAAAAGCAGGGAGCAAAGACTTAAACCTAGTATTTACAAGTGCATGTCAGGTGGGTTTTTTCCACTAGCCTCCTGGGGCACTGTGAAAACTGTGTCAGTGAAGCCTGTTGCAGCCAAGAAAACTGAACAGTCACTGTGGTACACAGATTTTTTTTTCAAAGAATCTTACTGGGAGTCTTTGAACTTTTTCTCTTCAGTTTTATCAGGATGAAACTCCCTGAAAGGAATTATAGGTTTTGGATGCTGAAGTTCTAAATGTCTGGGACTGAGATTAGTAAACACTGGAAGCAAAGGATTTTTTTGTCATCAAAGGGAACTACCCCATAATGAAACATGCAGCGGACAGATATTATAAACAGTAAATACATTTATACTGATCATTATTATCTCACTGTTTCTCATGTTCATCTCACTCTCTGTCTACTGTTGTCTACATTATACATAGACAGCAAGCTCCCTAGGACAGGGCACAGTAGGGTCCTGGTTTATGATTAGGCATACAAAGCAAAGAGTAATCAAATAATACACATTGACTCCTTATCCGTTCCTCATGATTGTCTGCAGAATGTCTACTTTGTAGAAAAATATTTATGGTAAGTACTCGTTGCCATACTTGTTTGCAAAACATGTCCTTCATACAATGACTTAGAAAACAATTCAATTCTTAAGAATGACAGTAATTCAACTTATTAAGAGTACTGCTGGGAGCATTTTATGGATGGAGTTCAGCAATAATGCTTATGAAAGAGAATACCTCTCTTTTATCTCCTGAATGGAATTATGATCCTTAATAAAGCAGGTCCATTTGAGGTATTTTTACTTCAGCTTCACATCCCTAAACACCCCTGCATAATCTCCCAGCTAGTCATGCAGTTATGGAGTGCCGTGAGCTCCCTGAGTGAACTACCAGCTGGTCTGCAGGTGGGGACCCAGCTTCCACCAAGACTAATGGGAGTCTTACCTTTGGTTTTAATGTACTCTGAAACAGCACACACCCACCCACCGCCTCCCCCTGACAAAGATGAAAGATATCATTAAAAAGCAGTTTGCTGGCATTGGTGTGTGTGTGTGTTCTTCTGGGAGCAACTAATTGAATTGTGTCTGGTTGAGCTTTGAATGAAGGAGTAACAGCGTGGAGGATCCTCAGGGCTGGACAGAGCACAGGCATGCAAGAAAATTAATTATCGTAGAAAGAGACCTACCGAAGACAAAGCACAAACATTAAATCCAGATAAAAGCCTTGGAAACAGTGAAGCTAATTTCATTACCTGAGGGCAGGTACACACTGCTCTCAAAAACCTTTTGGCTGGATTCTCGTTAGTAGTCATTACTGTTTCGTACTTCCTAAACCATTTTATTCCACTTGTTTGAGCTGCCAAGCAGAACAGTGAAATGTTTGTAATATAAAAATACCCTGGGACTTTGATTTTTCTGAAACCCATTAATATTTCTGGTAATTGTTTTTTAATCAGAACTAGGGAACAAATAATCTTCTTATGTTATGGGGTGCCCTGGATAAAAACGAACTTTACTGAAGTTTTCCTTAACAGGAAAGGGTGTGACAGAATCACCAAGCCTTACAGCATTTGATGAGGCAACATGCTCAGCCTTGTGAGAGAAGAACACCAACTACTGTCACTTTAATTTAGTAAGAGCGCTAGTAGTTCAAAGTAATTTTCACAGAATCACAAAATCATCTAGGTTGGAAAAGACCTTGAAGATCATCCAGTCCAACCATTAACCTAACACTGACCATTCTCAACTACACCATATCGCTCAGCACTAAATTGACCCAACTCTTAAACACCTGACTCCATCACCTCCCTGGGCAGCCCATTCTAATGCCTAACAACCCATTCCATAAAGAAAAGCTTCCTAATATCCAGTCTAAACAGAATCACAGAATCATTTAGGTTGGAAAAGACCTTGAAGATCAAATTTTGAGCAAGCTGTTGGCATTATATAGTCTCAGGTAGCTTGCCTTAAGCTATTTCACCTCAAGTATGACATATTCTGGAAATCAAGCGTTACCCAGGTATCCATCCAGATATACAGCCCAGTGTAACATGGAAGCCTTGCATCAGTCTAGGCACCAGCAGCAAAACATGCTTGCCAACTGAGCAAGGCACTGGCACTCAGCCAATCCCTATGTGAATACACTTGAAAAGGGGCATTAAAGCTTTTAGCTGCAAAGCTCAGTGTTCCTCATCATAAAATAATACAAGATAAAACACAGAACAATAAGGGAGGAGAGATCATCTTGTACACAACAGCTCTTGAGTGTGCTTATTTAAAACCAAAATATAACTTACAGTCCACATTGATGGCAATATACTGTGTAAATTGAAGTAACAACACAATACAGAAGATGAAAAGATGTTCGCTACTATCACCTTTTTGAACATCTAAGCTGTCTCCTAAAAAACATACCTTGTTTTAGAAAATTATCTTTTTTTTAGATTTTGAAGCACCTGGTTGGGAGTTAAGACAAAAATATCAGTGCTTAAAATTCTTGATGGTTTGTATATCCTTTTCCAATCCAGTCCAAAAGCACCTGTTGTTTTTTGGTTTTTTTTTCTGCAACTGAGGCAGTAAGGGCAGTGACTGACACATGACACATCCGATCAGGCTGCTCAAGTCATAACAGGTCAGGCTCAAAGTCCAGCAAAGACAATGGAAAAAAAAATGCTATAGCTTTGGGTCATGTGCCACGAATCTAACCTTGCTACTGTAGAGGTCATTGACAAAATTCCCCTTTTTATTTTTCAGATGAACAAGATCACTATGAAAATTATTTGACCTTTGAATCTCAGAGTACCAGGGATGCACCCCACCCACTGACACAGACTCCCACAGCACAACACTCATATCAGTTAACTCCACTTCAGCATTGTCAGTAAACAGGGCTGAAAACAACATTTCAAAGTGCAATTGATACAATAATGGGAGTTTTTACCCTGGCCAGTATAGTATCTTCCCATACAGATATTTCAACATTAATCTTTACTTATTTACATAAAGAGTTTGACAGTGTTGCCTATGCTGCACTTTCACCCCCTTGCTTTCTGTAATTTTTACAGTTTAAAAAACATAGCACAGATAACATATCATCTGTGTAAGATCCTGATGAAGCCTGTAACTTTAACATTTATTTTCATCTCAAATGATAAACACATGAGTATAGCAAAAAAGTGTTTGCAAAGTCCGCTATTTTTTTTTCTTTAATTAAGTTCCTGAAACAGATGGTACTACTTAAATATATATGGATTGAAATTCCAATCAGCCATAGAAAAAAATGAAATACATGACTATATCACTGTATTTCATCTTGTGAAGGATAAATTTCAAAACTGAAACATTGTGAGACACAACAAATTTAGCATTATTAATTTCACATAAGGTGAAATCTTCACTTAATATGTAAAATTTATACCATAATGATAACAGTAATTTCTTAATTCAAACCTTTACTTAAGGTTTCTAAGCTAACTGTATAATTAGGAAAAAGGGTTTTTGATTACAGTCATTCATGACATCAGGGCTGGGCAAGTGAAAAATAGAAAGAGGAGACCTCTGGATGGCTGTTTGTTTGTCCTTGGTCCTAGCTTTGTAAAAGAGCTCTGTCACATGTGTATCTCCTTTCATAAAACTCTGGCTAATATTTTGAAACTGTCATCATTTAATTAAACTTCAACAACAAATAAAAATTGCTCCCATCAACCCAATGAGGTGCATACACCTCAGCCAACATCAACCCATATCCTTTCTACCACCAAACCCTAAAGGAGCCAAAAATACACCAACAGGTTTTTTTCTGACTGGCAAACTTCTGTTTTGATATACAGAGGACTTAAAGCCAAGTTTAGATGGCAATTTTCCTTCCACAAAGTCCTGAGACGATTTGTTTGTCAGTTTTGCCTTCTCATTTCTCACCAGTCTGAGGATTAGGATTGCTGCTTAAATTTCCCTGCCACAGAAGAGGTTTTGGAGATTTCTAGACTGATTTAGTCAATGGAGTGGCAAGAGTTTTGCTCTGAAATTTAAGGCATGTGAGTAGATTTTAGAAAATTGCTTTTAATCACTTCTGCAGTATCTTTAATGTCTAAGATTCTTGCATAGTGTGGTATTACAGGGACACTGTCAGGTTAAATTTGGTTAAACAGGAGTAATGTTCAAAATTAAGGTTTCCAGGAGGAAAGAAAGAGATGACAGCATAAAATTTAGAGAAACACCTGCACCACTCTTTTCTTTCAAATCATTGCTGACAGGGAGTGAGAGAAGACAAAATCTAAAAAACTAGCCTTGCCCAGAAGTAATCTGTACTCCAAAATCCAGGGGTGTCATCAGCAAGGTGAGTGACCATGCCACCATCCCGCGGGGGTCACCGAGCACGTATGCAAGCGCTTGGCTCACCAGTCTCAGAGGATGGGGCAATGCAACCCTGTGACCGCCTGCTGTACTGGTGCCTGCACTGATTTCACCACCCACCCTTCCTGTGCAAATGGG